GTAAGGATAACGACTAAAGAGTGGTTGGCTAGATTAAACCAACACTTGGTACTCTTTAGCCAAAATAAGGATATCGGCTAAAGAGTGATTGACTGGAAAAACCAGCACTTACTTCTCCTAAGCTGAGATAAGGATCTAGACTGTAGGAAGTTGGCAGGTATGTCCAACAAAATTTCTGAAACTCTTTGGTCGGGATGATGGTTACCTCGGCCAAAACAGGTTGGCAAGGTTCGTAACCGAGTTAGTCTGTTCGACAAGACACAGAAAGAACGACTCGACGTATACAAACTCGAAGGATATATACGTTAAAGACAAAAAATCAGGGCTATTCAAATTTTTGGCATGACGATGGTAACAAGGAGAACAAGGATATTGGGGGCACGCCATATATCCTGGGAATAACGTCGTACCAGATTAGTGGAAGGACATGCTAAGCAACTAACAAGGCTTATTGGGACCAAACAAGCCGTGAAAACCGAACAACTTCTTAGCTCGGCTGGAGGAAAAATAATCCCAATCATTCTACGCAGATGGAATTAAGGGGAATTGAGAGGGTAATTTGTAAACAAATTGGGCCAAGTTAGGAAGAGTCTTCTTTGGGAGTTGGACCGCGTAATGGGCCAAGATAAGGGCTGGTGTAGCTCGGTCTTAGGCCAAGAAGACATCTCATATTTTGGGTTTGGGCCGAACTATGGACCGAGGTATTGGTAGAAAGAGGACCGAGCTAAACGATAGCTCTACAGGGCGTCATCTCGAAGTCAAGACTGATAGTAGTACTAAAAGTATCACAGAGCCGAAGTAACTTGGTTGACCGCAATGTTAGCCGAAATAAGTGGGCCTGGTGGTTAGCCGAGGTATTGGTGAGAAAGGATGTCGGGCTTAGTATTGCTCGGCCAATCTTGGTATAACTCGGTCGGGCGCCATCTACATCATTACTTAAGCGTGTGACCGAGGTAACTTAGCTCGGTGTGGTTGCAGCAGCTTATTAAAAGGAGGTAGCATCAATGGCGAGGGCCGAGCTGTGTATAGCTCGGCAGAGTGGCATCCGTTAGATCGGCTTTCGATCACACGGTCCGAAGGACAGGGGACCGAGATAAATCAGTTCGGGCAAGAATGTATAACCGAGGTAAAAGGTTCAGCCATTTCACTTGGCTTACAATGATGAGACTTCTAGTAGGACTCTGCTAAGGAGAGTTAGAGTCCTACTGGGATTGTGTAAACCATCTCACTTGGTTGGTAGCGAGTAGGAGTATGACTCCTAGGAGGACTCTGCTAAGGAGAGTATAGTCCTATTAGGATTGTGCAAAACCATCTCACTTGGTTGGTAGTGAGTAAGGTGTGTGATTCCTAGGAGGACTCTCATAGGGAGAGTTAAAATCCTACTAGGATTGTGCCAAAGTAAAGTCTATAAAAGCTCATGACCAGACCTATGGACAGGTATCCCAATTCTTACTCTAGAATACACAGAGCTTATTGTCTATTGTCTAGTTGCTGACTTAGGCATCGGAGGGGTTTCTGGCACACACCCGCCGGCTAGCTCACATTTGTGTTTTCAGGTGACAAAGCGACGACGTTTGGAGGACTGCAAACTTGATCAACAGGATCATACGAGAAAATTTATTTCTTTCCCGTACAAAGTGCTAATAGCAGTACTCCTTCATAATAAACAAAAAAATTAATTTTTTTTGGTACTTCCCAAAATAACCTTGAGAAATATCACTAAACGATAAAAACGTACAAATAAATATGGGCAAATTACCTACATCTCCCTTGAGGTTTAGCTAAATTACAGATTCTCCCCTAAGGTTTCAGAAATTACATCCCGCCTTCCGAGGTTTATATTTACATAACAATCTAACCCCTACCGTTAACTAAACATTAAGAATGGTTAGCTGACATCACCAAAATATAAATTGATGGACGATATTGCCCCTGCTGAAATTCTTTTGATAAATCAACAAAATTTACAAAAGAATTACGTTAGATGGAAAAAAAGAAAAAAAAAGTTTTTGCAACCATGTTTGATTTGTTATTTAGAAAAAAAAATTCATAATTTAAAAAAAAAATAAAAACTAATTTAATAAAAATAAATATGGAAAAATATATTTAATTTATAAAAATTATTTCTAACCACTCAAAAGATAAAATTATATAAAAATAATAATTATTTTTTATTTCTTATTTCTTAATCAAATTAATTTTTATTTTTTTTAAATAAATTAAAAATAAATTTCTAAAAATCAAACCAAATGTATTCTATAAATTTTTTGACAAGTCATTTCTTGTGTGTTTTTACTTATTTAATTATTTGTTAATTGTATGATATTTTCACCATCTGACACTACAACATATAAGAGTTATAGAGATTAATTTTTTTATCTCTAAAAGTGAAAATTTTGTTACAAAAGACATTTAGGGGTTAATTTCTATAGTTATGAAGATAGTCGTTAAAAGGTCGCTCTGAAAAGTCAAAAATAAGGTTTTTAACGATAAAATTTCAAAAATATCAATAATAAATAGGCTTTTAGAAACAAAATGATTTGGTCTCAAAATGATTTATTTTTTAAGACAAAAAATTTGATACCAAAAAGATAATAATTAATCACTAATGTTCAATTTTCGTTACTAAAAATATAATAACGACACTTTTTGCAACAAAAATATTTGGTCTCCTAAAAATAATTTTATCCTTAAATTTTGGTCTCTAAAACCTTAATTTTTTGTAGTGTGATAAGGTTTTTTTCATTTTAATTTTACATTTCATAACTTATATAAAAATGATAATTTAGCTAAACCTCAGGGAGAATTGTAATTTAACTAAACCTCAAGTGAAAATCTGTAATTTAGCTAAACCTCAAGGGAGTGTAGGTAATTTACCCTTATTTGTCAAAAGGGCATTTTAGTTAATTTATGATATCCGTTAACGGTGTTAATTGCGATGAGACGGGATATAATTTTTAAAACCTTAGGAGGAATTTATAATTTCGCTAAATCTCAAAGAAGGTGTAGGTGAGGGTGATTCTATTTACACCACTACTTACTTCTTTACACCCTTAATATGAGTTTTTTTTTTTTCTCTCCACTTTTATCCATGTGTGAAATTTCCTTTAAGGATAAAACACTAAAATTAAATATATTTTGTTATTTTCTTACACCCCTTGGTCTTCAATCCCTACTCCTCTTTTTCCTTTCTTAATTTTTCTTTTCTCTTACACATCTCTTTTCAAAAAGTGAGAATCATAGTATTTTGATCATTAAAGAAAGCAATGGATGAAGAAACGGTGGTGAAGAACCATCAAAAAAGTGAAATAGTGAGTTATTTATTTATTTATTTATTTGGTAGGTTTTTATTTCGTTTTCTGGACTGGTGTTCGACTATCTAAATTCATTACAAACAAGGTTTGATAAGTTTTTTTTTATGAATACGATTTTTTCTTATTTTTAATTTGTATTGAGTTTTATTAATAATTTGACGTATAAATATATTTATTATTTTTAGATTTTTGGTAATCGTGAAACATTAATTAAATGGGCTTCTGACGTTGGGAAGAAGACTGAATTTGTCATTGTCATAAAGACATCAAATGCGGAAGGCAATGGCAAAAAACCAAGACTTACACTTGCTTTAAAAAAAAAAAGTTACTATAGAGACAACAGGAAGATCAAGAATGAACGATTGAGGTTGACAGGTTCTAAAAAGTGTGGATGTCTATTTCTATTAAGGGAAAAAAATTATCTACAAATTACCAAGATGAATAGTGATAACATATTTGATTCATGAATGCAAACAATGACATATTTTATGGATATTCGTACACTTGATATTTTTATGAATTATTTTATGGATACTTTTTATGTATGATTTTATGAATGCATATTTGATTTATGAATTTTTTTATGGATGCTTCAAGGAAAAAGTAAATATTTCAATGTACAGTGACGGAGGCTTAGACAACTCTATTGTAGTTTAGCAACATGACACTAGAGTAATCTCATTTGTATAACAATGTATCACTGGACATGCACTTTACAAGTGATCCAAATTAATTTTTTGTTATCATCTAATTGGACGATAACATAATGTTGGGGAAAAAAATTTGTCCGGTAACATGGTACTGGAGTAATTCAAATTAATTAGCGTTGTATTATCGAACAGACCCACCACAAATTAAAAAATCATTGTTTGGAAGAAAGTGTCTCTATAAATATATAGCAACAAAATGTTAGAAAGATCTATTTTTTCCGACAGCATAACATCGGAATAATGTAAATTGTTTAGCACCGCGTTACCAAAATTAGTGGTGTAAAGAGATGAAATAGTTAATTTAGGGTTAACTTTGGTAATATATTAGAGGTGTAATGAGAATTATATTTTTTTTAGTGGTGCAATGAGATGGAGGGTGTAAAGATGTTAAATAATGGTGTTAGTAGAATCACCTTGTAGGTAATTTGCCCAATAAATATCATAAATTATAGAAGTGTACCAATTTAATCCCTTAACCAAAGGGATCAATGTAAAATACACCAATAATTTATGAGATCTATTTATATACTTCTATAATTTATAAGGCAAAGTAATATTTAGGGCAAACTAATATCTCTTAATAATTTAAAAAATTCATTCGTGCATTATATATGAATTCAAAATGATACTTCAGAATAATTTAGGGGTTATCTATGTAAATAACCTATAATTATATAGGGTATGTTTGGTTTGGTTTTGGGAAATAAATTTAAAAAAAAAAAATTAGAAAAAGAGTTAAAAAAAATTTTTGATTTGTTTAATTGTATATTTTGGAAATAGTTTTGGAGTATGAAAGTTTAGAATGATTTGATATTTTGTTGCAAGTAGATATGTGTAAGAAAAAAAGTGATTGAGAAAGAGAAAGGAGAGAAAAAAAATTATTAATTAATGTGTAGGGGTTAGAAAGTGATTATAGAAAAAAAAAAAAAAAAAAAAAAATTCCAAAAACACAAAACCTAACAAAATTTTTGAAAATCTCGAAAACAACCCAAACAAGGCCATACAATTTCCCACATATATATATATATATAGCTAAATTTCCCGCCATTGTTTGTTTCGGTAGTTCATTCCGTCCTCTCGGCAAACCCTAGATCGCCATGGAAGAGGAAATCAAAGCAGAGTTCAAGAAGAACGGTTTCAATCTCGACGAAGAAGAAGAGATTTTGAAGAAATGTGAGTATTCATCCCCTTTTCTTTGCAATTAAATCCAGTTCGAATTTACAGGAACTTTTTTTTCATGAGTTGGCAATGTTTCGATGCGCTCAGGTCTCACTTTCTGCATACAATACAAGCTCAGTCCCGCCGATCTTGTTTCGAGCTGGGACGTTTACTCTCTCAACAGGTTCAATCACTTTCTCCAACTCTATTTCTCAAATCAACGGATAGTGAAAAAGGTTTCTTTTATCCCCTGTTTGGTTTCCGAGAAAACGGAGGAAAAGGAAAGAAATTTGGAAATCTTACAATCTCTGTTCTATGATTTATGAGAAAAGTTCAAAAATTCAACCTGAATGTGTTGGTTGATTTTTTATTTATTTTTTTTTTTTTTTCAGGACTAAATTATATAGTAATATTTTAGTGTTTCTTTGCAACCAAACAGGGCACTATTGTTTTAGTGATCTTGAAGTTGAGATTGAAATATAATTAAAAATGGGGTACAATTGAGGTGTTATTTCGGTGACAGGCAACTGGAATTGACAGTGCAAAATGCTCACATGGATGCATTCTTGCTGCAACTACAAAACGAGCAGAAGGAAGCAATTATCAAAAAAGAGTCCGGTTTGCATTTGTACTCCAATGATGTCGCAATGTGAGCATCATTTACAATCTTAATTTTAATGTTTGTTTTTTGTAGTGTCTCACTTGTTTCATTGATGTGTCTTAGGCTGTGTTTGGATTATGGATTTAGGTAGGCATGTTGGAAATTCACCCACCTTTTCCCTTTTCTCTTTCCCCTTTTTCCTTTCCCGTTTCAAATCCCTACCCAAATCTTTGATCCAAACACAACCTTAATGTTAATTTTTTGTGTGTGTGTTAGCAAATAACTATTGCATTTACTTAAACGTAGTTAAATTTTGTAGGAGATTCTGGTATTGTGAACTAATTAACTATTGCATTGTAAATGATAGAATTTGTAAGACCATTGAAATGGTGGAAGTGGAACCAATCTACACATGTTTTTTCATCTATACAAGTTCTTGAAAAACTAGTGTGAATGGTTGACAGTAGTGAGTTAAAGTAACCATTATATGTTTACCAATGGTGGCTGAACTTTTATGTAGGCTATTGAGTGATGAACATGAAGATACAAAAGAGGGTTTTCTTGGCACTCCAACAGATAGATCCGATACACTTGGTGCAGAACCATTTGATTCGATACACAAAATTAATGGGGAGACTTTCTCTTCTATAAAGCCTTTAGAATCTGTGACGCCCTTTGGCCAAAGAAAGAGTAAGTTTGTGGTGCAATCCACTCTCAATGACCTGCCTAATGTAGAAAACGTAAAAAAAGAGCATGATCATCAGATTTCAGAGGATGACATCATAAAGAGGGTACAACCCAGCTCAAGGTGCTCCTTAGTTATCCATGGCTCCCAGCCTGAACCAGGTTGCAGGTTCATGTATGACAAGATTGAAGACAAGGTACTAAATGGTTCTCATAGCACAGATGTTTTTACTTATTGTGTAAAGTACCAACTTTGTCTTTTTGATGATCTAGTTCAATTTTCTCGAAAATCGCATTAGAAAGCATGCAACAGCACTTGTTGCTTCTGGTCTGTTTGAGGAACCGATTGACCCTACAGTTGCTTCACAGGTAATATAGTTGCTCTGTTTCTACCTCTCTCTTGTCCGCACAACTTGCAATCTTGAAAATGGAGAATTTACACTGTTTGGTGTGAGGAGTGGGAGAGAGCCTTTAAATGAGGGTAGTTTTGAAAGAAAATAAAAAATGGAAATTGAGGTACAACTTCTAGCACTTCCCAAATTGTTATGGCATTTTTTTAATATGGTTTAGTTTTGAGTTTGTATGCTAATCAAACAACAAGTCTATGCTTCTCATGGAACCTATTATTTCAGAAAAGTGTATTTGCAGTTGGCATGATCTGCTGTGAAGAAGAAGGCCGTTTGAAGGAGAAGCCTGTCTTGCTGCAAAGCAGGTAAAGACTATTGGTCTTGTCCTTTAGTTTTGCCCTAGGCATTCATCAGGAATGTTGTGTTGCCACCTGCATTAATTGTGTAAGCTAATTCGTTATTGTGTAAGCTAAAAAGTCCTTTTATTAGACAATGTGTTCAAGATGTTGTCAAGGGAACTACTGTCTAATGCTTTCCCCAGCTGGGCATACGGCACTTCATTTTGGCCAATGCTTTGCCTCAATATACCTAGTTCCTTCCTAGCTTAACTTTACTAAACTTTCATGATCAGAATTACCGATTAGATAAATCTTAAGATGGGATATGAATTTCATTTGGATGGTACAAGGTAAACACCTTTAGGTGTGTCATTTACTTATTCTCCTTTGATGCTATTAGTTATCTCTACACCTTTGCTGTTTAAATATGGTTATTAGTTCTCTGACAGTGTTGAGCATTCTGGAGGGCAACGCGTGCGTCTTGACTTACAAAAATTGAGCCAATTTTCAATTTTTCCTGGTCAAGTAAGAAATAGGAACTCCTGACTGCCATTTCAATATTCCTTTTTAAAATGATAACATAATGCCAAATCATTGCATTTTTTCAGGTTGTGGGTGTTGAAGGGCACAATCCTAGTGGACATTGTCTGACTGCATCAAAAATTATTGATTATACTCCCTGGTCGGGTTCTGCCGATGAGAATCCTCATCCTACAAAGAAACAAGTTGTTGATCAGGAGTTTCAATTAACTGATCCATCTCATGTGCTGGCAGAGCTGTCAATGGTGTGTAAGCTAGCGTTCCACATCTCTGTAAAGTATTAGGTTTTGGATTGTTCTAATGGCTATCCATCACTAATAAGTGTGAATTCCTATTTTGGTCGTTTCTTTCTACAACATAACCAGTTAAGATTGCCAGTGTTTGGGTGATTGTGAGTAGTCCCAATAAGCAATGAAATATGGATGTGGGAATTGATATAATGTTGACACAATGACAAGGTTTAACTGATTGGAAAGGTGATTACAATTTTGATTCTCATCCCACATGAGGCTAAACATGGTACTATACATGAAGTTAACTTCTGAAATTTCATGTCATGGAAAAAGAACCTTAACTTCCCATTTTGAGCATGCAACCCATATTGGGATTTGGGCAGATAGTCTCATAGCAGTATTTATTACTTGAAATCCAAAGCCATTAGTTGGAATATGCCATGTCTAATATTAGGTTAAGTTTGGTAATCTTTTTAAGTTCTTTATACTAATATTGCATTTGTCCATGTCTTTGGAATCTTAAACAGATTATTGCAGCAGGTCCTTTTACCACAACTGACAACTTGTTCTTTGAACCTCTAACTGAGCTGCTAGCATATGCACGTAGAAAGCAGCCTCAGTTGCTTTTATTGGTAAGACCCACCATTTTTCATATCAATAATCTTGTAAATTGTAATCTGCATTGATAAATGACTCGAGAAGTTGGATTTTTTATGTTTGGCAGCTGGGACCATTTATTGATTCTGAACATCCAGAGATTAAGAAAGGAGCAGTAAACAGGACCTTTGACGAAATATTTCGTCTTGAAATCCTTGGAAGGGTATCTATCTATCTACACTAGATAATTTTGCCTGTTTGAGAAGATTTTATCTTTCTTTTTCTTTTCTTTTTTTAATTTTTTTCCCCAATGGTTTGCAGCTTCAAGATTATGTGGAATATATGGGCTCCGCTGCACGTGTGATTCTCGTGCCATCTATACGGGACGCAAATCATGACTTTGTTTTCCCTCAGGTAATTTTATTGCTAAATTAATTTATATAATATCTCTATTTTCCCAGTAGTTAACAAAAAATTGAGATCATAATTAAGTGTTAATTTCTAGATTAATGTTGTTTGGCTTTGATTCTGCAGCCTGCTTTTGATATTCAGCAAGCCGATCTCAAACATCAGGTATGCATGATTCTACAAGACTAGGGGAAGCCCACCTTTGAAGTGGTTGCTAGATCCAGATCATTTTTTAGTTTGCAGTCTCACAAGTCACAATTTTAAAGAAATTACATTGTCTTACCAGATAACCAGTCTTACAAATCCAGGGATTTTCAGTGCAAATGAGGTAATCACTAATTGCTTTTATTCTTAAATTATGATTGTTCGTACTTCTAGACATTAATTTCATGTTTGTGTGTGCTCCTCCGAATTCTTCAAAATGGATTGATGAGATGAAATTTTTTTGCATTATATTATTCTCATGCACCACAAAAGGCTTGAAACCGTACTTTAGTAGTAAAAACACACTAATTAGCAGAATGCCCTAAACTTGAGAAGAGCAACATGGAGTTAGAAGCAATCTAGTTAAGGTTCTCCCAAGAGAACATGTTTAATCGTATTATTTTAAATTCTATAACAATAATTATAATTTAAAATATTTTTTATTTGGTCATGACTCAATTATTTTAAAATAAATTACAAATGCATCTCTGAGATTTGTTCAAAATAATCAGTCTTACAAATCCGGGGATTTTCAGTGCAAATGAGGTAATCACTAATTGCCTTTATTCTTAAATTATGATTGTTCGTACTTGTAGACATTAATTTCATGTTTGTGTGTGCTCCTCCGAATTCTTCAAAATGCATTGATGAGATGAAATTTTTTTGCATTATATCAATCTCATGCACCACAAAAAAGCTTGAAACCGTACTTTTGGAGTAAAAACACACTAATTAGCAGAATGCCCTAAACTTGAGAAGAGCAACATGGAGTAAGAAGGAATCTAGTTAAGGTTCTCCCAAGAGAATATGTTTAATCGTATTATTTTAAATTCTAAAACAATGGTTTGAAGCATTTTGAGTTAAACACATTGTACAAGTCTCTAATTAGTTTTCAATCACATTTTGGGTTTTCAGGTCAGGCTAGGTTGCTGTACTGTGGATATTCTCAGGCAACTTAGCGGAGAGGAGATCTCACGGAATCCATCTGGGGGATCCAAGCAGCGCATGAATAGACTTGCAAATCATCTACTTAGCCAGCGCAGGCATGTTTTTATTATTCTCTTAATGGAAATTTCTGTACTTGATATTAAAGAAGATTAAACAATTCAAAAGACGGGTACTTTTTGAAAACAGTTTCTATCCTCTATACCCACCAATGGAAGATACTCCCGTGGATTTTTCTCTCGCTCCAGAGGCTCTTCAGATCCCTTGTAATCCAGATGTCCTAATCCTATCCTCTGACTTGGCTCATTTCGTGAAGGTATATGATAGTTCTAGTTATATCAGAGAGTAATGATGGATTTATGAAACAGAATAGTTATACAGAATGATGTGTCAAAATGATATTCATTCATTTCAAATCAAAAGACTCATGATAGTGACTTGTTATTTCAAAACTGCCATTGACACATCATTCTAGTAGACTTTTTTGTACATAAATTCTGTTTGCAAATCAGTGTTCTTTCTTATCTAGTTTAGAGCAAATTGGATTGTATGAATGAAATTTAACTCTTCATCTCCTATGCGGACAGGTGTTGTCAATTGGGGATAAAAATGACGGGGAAGAGCAAGCGAAGTGCATTTGTGTTAATCCGGGAAGACTGGCTAGGGGCGAAGGAGCGGGTTTCTTTGTGGAGCTTAACTACGGGGGAAGCCCTGATTCAACCAGTGCTTCAGTTATAAGCATATAGACCTTAAACTACCGCATGTAGTGATTCAACAAGTGCTTCAAAAAAAAGTAAACCCTAAACTTATAGAGCTTGCAGTTGCAGATGATATCAGTTTGTTTGGAAGCAAAAGTGGACACCAAATTCTAATGGAGGAGCTTAGCACCATGAAGACTGTTTATGGAGTGCTGTCATGTAGTACTAGTTTCACATCACAATTAAGGTGATGTTACTAACATGATGTTCTATTAATGTATTTAAACTTAATTCTTATTATTGTCTTTTCAAGGTGGCAATGATTTCTCTTTTTACCAACAGCCAAAAAAAAAAGGATAATAAAAGAAAAGTCGTTTTTGGTTGTGGTTTTGTTTTCTTTTATTTTTGCTTTTCATGTTTTAAGAAATATAAGCAATGAAAAGTTTGACAATCATTTTTATTTTGCACGAAAATAATTGTTATTTTTTAAAAGGCAAATGCTAGTGAATGTCTTTGTGCAATTGTCTTGGAAATAGGTAAAAAAATGTTTAAAAAATAATATTTTGAATTCAGCTAAATAAAAAAAGCGTTTTGCCTCTTATTTTTTGTCTTTTTCTTGTGTCTCATTAACACTTGTTTAGAATTCTTTTTTCAAAAATAGGTGTTTACAGAAAAAATAAATAAATAAATAATCGTTAAAAGTAATTTTCAGGAATAGTTTGCCTAACAAATTTTTTTTTTTTTTTTTTCTAAACTAATTATAAATAAAAACATGAAATCATAATCAAATTTGGCAGTTGTAATCTAGGTCATTATTGAGGAAGGAGGATTTTATTTTAATTTAATTGGTGGTTAAATTTGTGGTTGGTTTAGTTGCTCCACCATCCGCCTTCTGATCCAAAAAACAGGGAATATGCTGAGGAATATGATTTGTATTACAAAGCTCTTCTTTGAAAAAAAACATCTCTGTAAAAATTATCCTATCGTTTAAAAAATTTATATTAATTGTGTGCTTAATGAATAGTAAAAATTAAATGAATATATAACTTTAAAAACGAAAATTAATAATGAATAAATTATAAAATATCATTGGGCAGATGTTAGACACATAAGATTCCTGATTTATTAGATAATTTCTACTACATAGTGGGTCTACCAATTGAATCCTCTCTGCATATTCCAAAGCTGTCATCCTTCATACACAACCACTAGCCTTTTTCAATTTTATTTTTTTTAATAAATTGAATGATTTTAACACTGTTATTTTTCTTTTCTTTTCCTTGTTTCTTTTTTTCACAATTAATTAGTATCGTATCATTATTTATGATGAACATTAATTATTTTGAGTCATTTTATGAAAAAAAAAAAATTATAATGCGAGAAAACATCTATCATTATCTTTCCAAAGAGGAAGAGATAGGAACTTAAACTCCATTATGCCTTCGTTAATCGTTTGGCAATTTGGGTTGGGTTGGGTTGGGTTGGGCTGGATTTGGGATTATTTTAGTCACTAGAAGATAAAATAGATTTTTTAGTCTAATAAGACAAAATATCACATCCAACTCATAATCATTATATTCTTCCTCTCACAAAAATTAAAAAAAGCCAAAAAGCTCATCCCAAATGAGACTTTTTAGCTCCAAACTAAAATAGTTAAAAAATCAAAAAGTCAAAAAGCCAATCCACTTTCCAAACGAATACTTTGAGTGATTATTTGATAGTCTTGGAGTACTATTGCATACTATTTATCACTTAAAACTTGTTAAATTGTTTTCCAAAATTCAAACAAAAAGTATATTGGGTTTCACAACTTTAACCAATAACAATCAAGTAGAGGCACCAAGTAAATTTGCTCCAAGTCCACCATATAATTTTGAAATTTTTACTTAGTTGGTCCCAATAATTGAATCTATTACTCATTAGGTCTTAAGTTTCTATCTCATACACCAAGAAGTTCTGTTATATTTTTTTATCTCGATTTTGCCCTGCTACCGGCTTATAAAAATCCCTATTTAAATCATCCCAAACACTTTCTAAATCTTTAATTGTTTATAATATTTATTACTCGTTAATTTTTTCAATTTGTATTAACTTCTCTCTAGATCATTTTTCCAAAACTCTTTTTCTTTCTCATCTCTCTCTCTCTCTTTCTCTCTAGAAGATACCACCATTGTAGTTATGACCATGGCCATGGCCATCCATCCACAACCACCATCGTCATCCGTCACTAACCACCGCCACCTCCACCAGTCACTATCACCACCTTCGCCGCCCATTACCACTACCATTGTTCACCAACCATCTCCACCGTCGCCGATCTATACTTCACCATCTCTCAATCGTTTGACTCGGTCGCCTAACATTGTCGTCTTCCTTTCTTTTTGCCGTTACCATCACTCTTCCTCCATCCTCCATCATTTATCTGCCATCACCGTCGTTCTGCTTCAATCATCGATTGACCATCTTCAACGTCAAACTTCACCAATGACTTCAAATCTAGTTGTTTTCAATGCCAATCTACCATCTTCGGCGCCAATCTAGTACTGTACATAGTTGCCAATGAGATCGAGACTCTTTCTACAATGTGTTGGTCAAGATCTACATTTGTAAAACATTCTGAACTAATCTAATGAATTTATCACTGATTTGTTTAATATGCTATGGGCTGTTGCTGTTGAAATTTTGATGTTAATATAATGATAAATTTATCACTGATTTTTGTTCATGTTATATTTATCAACTTTCTCTTCCTCACTCCCTCTCTCTCTTTTTATTTCTCTTAAACCAAATTTGTTGTATTAGTGATAAAAGTATCACTGATATATTTTTTTGAATCGTGTGTTGATTTGTGACGATGATGATGAGGTTTTTTTTTTTTTGTAATCTTTTAACAAACAACTAGTGAGAAATTTATCAGTAAATGCGTTTATCACTGCGAAATTTATTATTGAATATGTCTTTGAATCTTGTGTTAATTTGTAATGATGATGATGAGAATTTCTTTTTGCAATTTTTTAACAAACAGTCAGTGATAAATTTATCATTGTTGTCACTAGAGAGAGATGAATATGTATTAGGGCTAAAATAGTCATATAAGATAAAATATGTTATTTTAACTTACTTAATAAGATAAAATATTACATCTAATCCATAATTATTATATTTTTCTCTCACAAAAAAGGTCAAAAATCCCTTTCCAAACGAGGCTTTTTAACCCTAGACTAATAGTTAAACAGTCAAAAAGTCAACCTACTTCCCAAACCAACCCTTACACTGTGTTTGGTCAGGGGATTTGAGAACAGATTTGGAAAATAAAAGAGAAAAGGTGTGTGAAATTAGGTAAAATATAGGTATATTTTATTCATATTTCACCTACATTTTTCATTTTTTTTTTCAAATCTCTCCTCAAATCCCCCAATCAAATATAATATTAAGGTATTGAGTTTGAATTATCTAAAAATTATCTGATTATTAATTTTAAAATTAGTTGAGATGTGAGGAATTTAATTTTCTTATACAAATAATAATATTAATAATAAAGACTTACATTAGACTATTTTAACAATTAAAAAAAAAGTCAAATTATTGATTTATTTAAATTGTATTACCTCACTATTTTTTTATTTTTTATTTTTCAAAAAAAAACTAATAAATTAGCGTGTTTTATACTTCTCAAAACAAACCATTGTGGCTGGATTATGACTTTTGTGAAGCTTTGAGTGCAGTGCACGCTTTGACTCTTTGTAATTTCTTCATCAGTAATAGGGTTCGTTTGGCGAGAAGAGTTTGGGGTTTTTTTGATTATTTTAGTCACAAAAGACGAAATATGTTATTTTAGTCACAAAAAATAAAACATCACATCCAACTCATAATCATTACACTCTTCTCTAAAAAAAAAAAGTCAAAAAGTCAAAAAGCCCTTTCCAAACCAAGCTTTTTAGCCCAGGCATCAAAAAATCAAAAAGCCAAAAAACCAACCCACTTCCCAAACGGAGGTACCATCTCTACCTCCTCCTTACCAATCCCCCTTCCAAGGGTATTAGCAATACCAAGGGACTAATAGTCCCAACCCTTTCTCTGCAAACAAACAGGGACTTTAGTAATACCTTGGTATTACTAGTCCCAATACCCTCCCTATAACCCAAAACAAACGGGGCCTAAGGGGTTTGAAAATTGTAGCATAGGCTCCGTTTGGGAAGAAAAAAGTCAGGCTTTTTTGGCTAAAATAGCCACAAAAAATAAAATAGACTATTTTAGTTACAAAAAACAAAACATCAAATCCAATCCATAATCATTACAATCCTCTCTCACAAAAAAAAGTCAAAAAAATCAAAAAGTCCTTCTCAAACCAGGCTAAAATAGCCCAAGGTAAAATAGCCAAAAAATCAAAAAATCAAAAAACCAAAATGCCAACCTACTTCCCAAACGGAGGCATAGTTAGATTTTACCTTAGACATCTCACATACTATTCATTTTTGAAAGAAAGTATAGATTGAATATGATGTGACTGCAAATGACAATTTAGATGTCAGTGTTGTCTTTTATCTTAAATCTTTTCTCCATTATTTGATTTGGTCAAAAACTTGTTTGTCATGTTAAAATTTTGTTTATTTATTTTTTTACTAGAACAAGAATTTCATTATATATAAAAGAAACAATATATAGGAGTTCAAAATTAGTTTTTATAGTGATATAGGTTAGAAAAAAGAATGAAGCATAGAATTGGTGCACTTGATGAGTTATCTTAGGTGGGGGCCCATGGTTTTGGTCTTATTGAGAATATTGTTGGTTTGGCACATGCAGATGTAGGCATGGATACTTCCATGTGGTGAACAATGACTATACCCATTGGGAAATGTATGCCATTGGAGGAAGTGCTGCACCAACCATCAATAGTCAAGGCAACAGATTTCTTGCTCCTGATACCAGATTCAGCAAAGAGGTGAGAATAATTCAGAACCCCATTTATAATATTCACTCAATCTATCTATCTATCTTTATGTAAAACATAATTTAGAATGTCAAGTTAGGAGAAGAATGCTTCAAAATTATGTATATTTAACATTTTTTTTTTTTGTTTGAATTTTGTTGAGAAACGTTTAATACTAAATTTATATGTATGTAGGTGACAAAACATGAGAGTGCACCACAGAGTGAATGGAAGAACTGGAATTGGAGATCAGAAGGAGACTTAATGTTAAATGGTGCATTTTTCACACCATCTGGTGCTGGGGCTTCTTCAAGTTATGCCAAGGCTTCGAGCCTGGGTGCCAGACCATCCTCACTCGTGGGTTCGCTCACGGCCAATTCTGGATCACTCAATTGCAAAAAGGGTTCTCGTTGCTAGCTAGCTAGCTAGCTAGCTCATCAAGATCATCAGACCCAACAACAACAAATACTTGGGAAGATATTTGAAGTTATTATTTAGACAAAATTAATTTATTAGACTATGAGGGAAAGGAAAAGTAGGGCGCAAGAAGTCTAAAGGGGTTCCATATCTACTGCTAGGGTTTATTTTACTTTTCTTGGCTTTTTCTTCCCTCCATTTTATTTAATTTTACCTTTTTTTTATTTTTTTTTTGTTTTTGCCTTTGTTTTTTTTTGTTTTTGACTTTAATGTCAAGTACAACCTCTGGTTTGTTACTCAGAAAAACCATTGGGGATTCTGCTGTCAGTCCTCTATGGGTATAGAGAAACAAAGTCTGGAAGTGTTGATATATATACAATGTTTTGTCTATTTATGTTCTTATGCAGAATTCGAATGATTCTAATTGCGAAACAATAAAAACAAATAAATCATACACACACACACAACAAAAAATGATTTAGCAGTGTATTTACGTTTACGTTTGAAAAGAGATCAAATTCACTATCACAATAAAAATTGCATAGGTGAATCTCTCACATTGTAATCCTAACTGAAAAATACACTAATGTGTTTGGTTGGGAGATTTGGGGAGGGATTTGGAAAGGAAAATGAAAAAGGTAGGTGAAATGTGAATAAAAACATGCCTATATTTCACCTAGTTTCACACACCTTTTCCCTTTTCCTTTCCAAATCCCTTCCCAAATCCCCCAACCAAACACAGCATAAATACGTCTTACACTGAATTTCGGCCTTTCTGCTCTGTACAAAACTGCTTACAATAGATTTGAGTATAAAGTAAAAAAATAGAACACTTAACAACATATAAATTAAGGAAAATGCTAAACTTTCATAATATTTATACAAAAATTGCTACAAGAATAATAAAATCATCTTAATAATATTGTTGCTTAGATTAAAGTTTGTAAAAATTCAATACAACAACAATTTTGTATCATCACCAACACGTCATGATGATATAAATAAATATACACACTGTTTATTTTTTATACTGAAATGAGCCTCCCTACTCTCTTTACATATGCTTGTATATCTACAGGACAAAAGAGAAAGAAAACTCAAGAGAAGACAGAATGTAAAACATCAAGAATGACCAATGAAATGAATTCATGTGATTAGAGAAGATGAGCTAGCTAGCATATAATATAATTGAATTAATGAATTGGATACTATAAGGAACAAGACTCAAGAGATCATGAATGGGCTCAAATATATGATTTATTTATTTTAAAATAAAAAAAAAAAAGGGAATCTGATACTAATTCATAGATCAAGCCAAACAGTACTATACTCTTTTGTACTTTGTACATTTCTCATTGACCACATTACATACCTCCAAACCATTTTTAACCATTGAATAATCAATTCCCTTGAACCAACAAATTATTACACAACTTCAAGTGGTGGTTAGTCTCAACAAATGCAAGAAAATGTGTTACAAATATTTTAAAATATGTAAAAAAATGTCGTGAAATTCTTTCGGTTTTGAATTTTTATTTATTTATTTATTTATTCATCTGAATGATAAACAATTTAGTAAGTTCTTATTAGCATGATAATTTGCAATTACCAAATTGACCTCCCAAATTTCTTAGGCCCTGACTTCGGTTAGGGTGGGGCCCATTTGAGCATTAACAGAAGGAAGAAAATTAGTGGATTTCATGGGACAGAAAAGGGAAAGGAAATCATATGCCATTGTCTTTGATCTTCTTTTCATAGGAGCTGTCAACAATCAGTTACAACACCACATCTTTAACAAAGTAGAGAGCATCAACATTCAACACCTTTTTCCTAGTTTTAGTCCAGCAGAAGATTGAAAACTAACACATCTGCTCTCTTGCTCATGTTAGCTAAATCCATTTGGTTTTGTGTGTTCTATTTCATGTAACAAACAATATGGCCATTTAAAAAAAAAATGATAAAATTTCAAAATTGTTCAGAATTGTGTGTTTTACATAATAGAATATAAAACATGCCAAAGGAACAGTACAAAGTTGTTCAACAAAGAGGGAAAGCACAGGAAGTTGTTTTAGCTTTACGCTGTGTTTGGTTGGAGGATTTGAGGAGGGATTTGGAAAGAGAAAGGGAAAAGTTAGGTGAAATGTGAATAAAATGTACCTACATTTCACCTAGTTTCACACACTTTTTCCCTTTCCCTTTCCAAATCTCTCCCCAAATCCCCCAACCAAACACAGTATTAGTGAACATGTGGAGGGAAAACTAATTTAAATGGTTCACATTTGAGCATTGGTGCCATAAATTGCAAATCAAGGCACATCTTTACAAGACTCCATTCACACAAATGGATAGGTTTCCTTTTCAGGGAATAGTGCTAGTACACAGACCCTTCACTAGTGAGCATCTTTTCTCCCATTTATTTATTTATTTATTTTTTTATTATTCCAATACATGTATAAAAATTTCAAGGGCTAGTGATTCACGAGATATAAAATAGCTGAGTGTGCATTGCGACAGGATTATAGACAAATTTGAAGATAAATGACAACATTCTACTTATAAATTATAGTTGATTTAAGAATTTTGTTTTTATCATTTCTCTTAAAATTAAGGAAAAATTACTCTAGTGGTAATTGAAAAAAAATTGAAAAAATTTATAATTATTATTATTAATATTAATAAAGTTAATCATTAATTTATAATTATTTTCAAAGTTTCATGGTGGTGTAAAATTTTTCCTAAAATTAGTTGATTTGATGGAGGATCTCGATTTTAATTTTAATCTCTATGCATTTTATTGATCAGCATTCTCTCCAAGCCATTAGAGCTTGTGCAAAATTCTCTCCACACAAGAATTAAATTGTTGGTCCATATCCTAAAAAATTTATTGATTAGTTGGCATTGATTTGTTAATTTTTTCATATCAAAATGGGCTGAATTGAAAGTTTCTCCACCACAAGATATGGATGAAAAGGCTTGGATTTGGAACAATGGACAGTCAAATCATCAATTAATGGGGGCTGATTGATCAATTTGCCTGAGGGAATTAGTTATTATGACATGGAAAGGTATGAGCAAACCATGTGGGAGACCAACTTAGAAGAAATAGACCTAATTGGATCACAACTAATACCTATATATATACTTGACAAAAGCCGTTGTCCGCAATGCGCGCTTCATCACATGCACCAAACCAACAATTAATTGACTAAAGAATATTTATAGAATTGGGTAAATTACACTTTCTCCCTTTATGCCGGTTTACTTTTTTATTTTAGCTTTTATTTTTTTTAATATTTTATTCTAACTTTTCATGTTTCAATTTTTTTCTACTTTACTCTTAAAATTAATTTATGTTCAAAATTAGACAGAAAATGACATATTTATAGTCACGTAATATAAAAATATTTTATTGTATATAATTCACACCTCTAACATAAACTTAAACCCCAATAATATATATTTTTATATTAAGTGACAATTATTATGATATTTTCTGTCTAATTTTGAACAGAAGTTAGCTTTAGAAATAAAGTAGAAAAAATTTGAAACTTAAAGAGTCAAAGTGAAAAAAAAAAAAAAAAAAAAAAAAATAAAATAAAATTTAAAGGCCAAGGTGAGAAGCGGCCAAACATAAAAGGGCAAAGCCTAATTTACCCTATAGAATTTTATCAAGGGCAAATCACACTTAGAGTATTTATGTTTTAGTTTTGTGTCATTTTGGTTCTTTTATTTTTTATTGGTTCAATTTTGATTTTGTTTTAAAGTGGTTCAATTGATTTCAATTGTTTGCATTTTTTTTAAAATAAAAAAATGTGCTCATAAGGGGCATGTGTGTCATGCTTTTCGGGACAAAGTTGTAAACTTGATCAATTTAGTGACTTGATCTCATTCAAATCAGCGATAATTTTTCATAAAAAATCTTAACTACATTATTGATTGGATCAAATTAATACAAAATATAAAATTAAGAATCAAAATTAATTAAAAAAAATAGGAACTAAAATAGCACAAATAACAAAATATAGAAACTACTAATATAATTTATCCTCTCATCAATGTGTCTTACTTCAATGCACGGCAAGATAGTTAAAAGGCAATGAAATGTTAGTATGCTATATAAAAAATTAGGTTGTTTGGGATATCCTAAATAAGTATATTTTTTAACTTTTTAGATTAAAAAGTTGAGGAAAAAATATGGTTGTTTGGGTTTACTTTTGACTTTTTATGAAAAAATGTGTATTAAAAAATTGTATAAATTAGTGTGTAGAGAAAAATAAGGATTGGGAGTTGTGCAGCCGTACTTTTTGACTTTTGGTAAATAGTGATAACTTTTTAACTTTTTGAATAATTTTTTGACTTTTTGACTTTTTGAGCACATGCCAAACTTGGCCTAAGTTGACTATTGTTAGCAATTTGGATTTAAATATTTTAAGTTATGTTAATAGGTTATTTCAATTAAGTTATTAGGTCATTATGTTATTTGAGTTGTGACAACTTATTTCTCTATATTAGTTAAATTTAAGTTTTTTGACCTATTGATTGGTTCCTAACACTTGGTATGAGTAAGTTTCACGGCTTGAACAAGTTTGAGTTCCTAACAATTGGTACGAGTAAGTTTCATCTCAGAAATCTGTATTTTTAACCTATTGATAGGTTTCTAATACTTGATATAAATAAGTTTCTTTGTCTTGAGCAAGTTTTAAGTTTTTAAATTCACTTTTTAAGAAAGTATTTTTTTTTTTTTTTAATGTAAAAAATCGCAAAGTTTGAGCGTTGCATAAATAGATGTCACATTTGAAGTTTCAATCATGAAAGAGATAGCAATTGTTAAGTGTATGCTTCACCTATCGAGTTTGAGTAGTGGAAGAGATTATCCAGGAGTGAGTGACTAAGAGTTAGGCCTTACCTATATGGTATTGACTATCAATTATATAAAAAAATCGAAACACTAATAATTATTATGAGAAAAAAAAATTAAACAAATACCTTTCTATAGCAAATAAATAATCAATTTTCTCAATATTTTGACATGGATTAACTATTTTTTTTTTGAACTGGAAGGATTAACTATTTAGGCTCTTAGTTGAGAACGCGTAGAGGTGGTCAACTAAGGACATCCACAATGGGATAGTCAAAATTATTTGTTAAAGTGTGTTATATGATAAAAAGTGATAAAAGTAAGGCCCAAAAATGTTTGTTAAGATGTGTTAAGAGTTTGTTAATTTTAGAAAATGAGTGGTGGTGCAATGGATGTATTAAGGGGTGTGTTAAGGTGTGTGAAAAATATATATGTGTATATAATAAACAAAATAAATAAATAAATAATTTAGTTTAATCAAAAATTTCAAGCCCAAAATTAAATTTCAAGTCCAAAAAAAAATCCTAAAAAGTTTTTAAAAAAAAAAATTGCCGTTGACCGGTCAA